GAGTGAGATTGTTCCTTTGGGGAGTAGATGGTCTCTTGTGAATCCGTATAGCGGGAACGAGGCAGGCTTCAGGTCGGCCTCGTCCAGATTCATCATTTCGAAGGTGGATGCGAACAGGATGTTCACAGCACTCCCGTTATCCACCAGCATTCTCTGGGTGTTATAGCGCCCTATCAGGGGAGTGATTATAAGGGCGTCGTCGTGGGGATGGTGTAACCTGGCCGCATCCTGCTCGGAGAAGGAAATCTCTTCCTCCTGGCGAACCTTTTGTGGTCGCTGATCCGCACTCATCACTCTAATGGGGTCGTGATATGCTTCATGAGCATACCTTTCTTGGGCACCTCGTGAATTTCTAGCGAAGTGCAGTCCCCCGAAAATCAAGTTGAGACCGAGCACCCCTTTCTGATCGCGACGCTTCTTACTTGGCTCTTCCTGATCTTTCTCTTTCGGGGGAGCAGAGTCATCGATGTATTCCTTGAAGTGCCCCTTCTGGATAAGTTCTTCGATCGCTTGTTTCAGGGCTCGGCACTCGTCAGTATGGTGCCCATTGTCCCGATGATAGTGACAGTACTTTTTGTTATTTCTGGCTGTCACAGGGGTTTTCATGGGTTCGGGTTCTCTGAGCAGACTGGCCTCTTCGGATTTATCAAGAATGGCAGATAAGAGGCGTTCAGTAGAGTATATTGGGGTCTGTCGCGGTCGTGACGAGGAACGGGGGCATAGGACTTTTTGTGCTTGTAGCGGGATTTCTTCTCTTTTCGCTGATCGTTAATGTCTCCTTTGCGATCAACTCTTCTACTTTCTCCCCGACCAAACATACTACCCGAAGATCCGTGATTGCGACGTCGTAGTGCCGCCAATAAATTTTCTATGCGGAGATACTTTTCCGCGAGGTTATAGAATCTGGTGAGGGAAACATCGTCCTCAGCCTGTAATTCTTTCCACAGGTCGGTTTGCAGGCGAACTTCGACTATTATGAGTGTTCAGATTGACTCTTCGGGGGCGTGAGCCACCTTGTTGAGTTCCCTGTAGAAACGGTCGATATAAGATTGTAGGGACTCGTCCCTTTCTTGCCTTATGTTGCTGAGATAGCTCAAAGGCATCGAGAACTTCCGATTTGCTTGGAAATACCGTAGGAACGTCATGCTCATCTGAGGCCATGAACTGATCGTTCCCGCTGGGAGCGACCTTAACCACCGCTTGGCATGAGAAGTTAGAGTCACGGCCAAGCAACGACATTTTGCAAGATCCAAAACCTGGTGGAGCTCCATCAGGTCATTGAACTCATACAAATGATCCTGCGGGTCATGGTTCCCATCGAACGGCCGCATGTCGGACATTCTGAAACCTAGTGGGAATGGAGCAGCTAACACTTCGGGAGAGAAGGGGGATGCAAAGGCGACCTGGGTCTGCTCGTTTTGCTGCTCTCTCAGCCTGTCCAAAGCTTGCTGCAGCTCCTCAATTTGCGGTAACGGAGCCAGTTGGGGATTGCTTTCACCCATGCGAGTCCGACCCTTGCGATTACGGTTCAGGAGAGTCCGGAGGTCGGACTCCTTTTCGCCTCGGCCAGCATTTTCGGCCGCTCTCGACACATGCTGGCTAGAGGCGTGTGAAGGCGATGGATGGTGCGGGGTATTTTCACGACCCTCGCGGTGGTACGAACTGCCCCGCGAGGTGTAAAAACCATCCTCACGATAGCAATCAGGATCGTTCTGCTGGCGGTGATAAGAATCGCCCCGCCTAGCACTTTTGTTTGGGTTCACCTGCGACGTGGCATGGGACAGCTCGGGATTTATTTTTTTGCCAAGTCTCAGCTTTGCCGGCACCCTGCTCGGGGCACGGTTTGTGTTCGCTAGCCCTTTGGAGCCTATAGGCTTGCTTTTTGCCACTTGTTTATCCTTACGTCTACGCACTGCAGTGCTCGCAGCACGGGCTATTTCCCTTTGCCGCGCTTTCGCGTGACCTGCAGGCGTTTTTGGCGGTTGCACCGCCCCAACTATTCTAGATGGCACGCCTTGGTCCAGACGGTCCAACCTTTGGTTGACCGTCTAGAGAGTATTGTCGAACCTCTCCAGGTAGCTTCTGATGGTGGGGTCAAGCTGCGAAGCTGCTGGGATATCCACCGCAGCAATTTGTGGGGCTGGAAGTATTCTGGAAGAGGTATCCCCTTGGGTCAGGGGAACTCCCTCAGCGCACTGGTTGGCTTGTTCAGGTTCAGATTGGCAGGCCATTTGTTGCTGTAGGACCAGTAGGTTAGAGATTCTCCTGATGAAGGATGAACACTAAATCTGGTCTCTCCTTCTAGTGCCAAACTGTTGATGCGTGATTTTTGGCACCACACATGCGTAACGTTGATTGGTCAAGAGATACACATGATTATGGATAGAATGTATAGTAAATGCAATGAGAGCTTTCTGAAGTGGTTCGGATGCTAAGGTAGCAAGTCCTACGTCCACTGATTTGTATTAATATAGTGGGTCAGGTCGCAACAGCGGACTGACTTACAAATGATTGGAGGAAATTAAATACAAAGTTATAAGAGAGAGAGAAAAATCTAATTCAGAGTGTAAAATAGCCGAATCCCCTTAATGAAGGGGTCTTCCTCTTTTTATAGTGAGATGAGTGCAAGTAATCATCATTAAATCCATGGGTTGATGTGAATGTCAGGATTAAAACCGGCTTTACATCACATTGCCCACCTTCTAAACTGATTTCACGCGATTTGGAGTAGGGAAATGGACACGTGGGAGTTCCATATCATTTGGCAGGCCTGACGTGTGCTTACCGTTCTGACGGGAGCAGGTCACACCCCATCACGTGATTTTTCATGTCAACCCTTGATTTCCTAGGCGTAACAAGTAATTACAATAATATTAATAATAAAAAAGGAGACTTTGTAGGGAGAGTACAAATGAAACTGACCAGTTTTCCCAGATGCTTTTGAAGATAATTAATCGTTTTTAAGCTGTTAGCTTTCTCTCTCGGTTATAGCTTAGCTTCTTCTTTCTCTCTCTTTCTCTTTGTGCGTGCTTGAGTGTCTTCGTTTAAGTTTCTGTGAAACTTCTCTCCTTCCTCTGTTCTTAGTCTTTGTTTATTGATTATGGCCTTTTGATACACTTGGGGTTGGGGAGGCCTCGTGGCTTTGACTAGGGGTGTTCAAAAGCGGTTAACCGAACCGGTTAACCGCTTTTTTGAACCGAACCAGTTTTTCGGTTCGGGAAAATTCTCGAACCGAAACTGAACCGGTTTAGAGGAAAAACCGGTTTTTCGGTTAACTGAAAAACCTGTTAATTGCTTTTTTTAAAGCGGTTAACCGGTTTTGAACCGGTTTTCCCTTTTTTTTATAAAACTTATTTTTTTTATTTTTTCCTAAATTAAATTGTAAATATAAATAATACATATCCAAATAAAAATTAGACATTCATATATATCCATTGACCACTACTAACGATACATTAAAAATATTATTATTTTTTATTTAATATATAATATATAATATTATTATTTTTTATTTAATATATAATTTTTATTTTTATTTTTATTTAATATATATATATATTTTGTAAAACCGGTTCAAAAAACCGGTTTCGGTTAACCGCTTTTTATTTTTTCCCAAACCGTTAACCGAATCGAAAATTCGATTTTTTGAATTTTTCAAACCGTAACCGAACCGTTTTTTTGGTTAACCGGTTTTTCGGTTCGGTTATCGGTTCGGTTCAGTTTTTGCATTTTTTTGAACACCCCTAGCTTTGACCATTTTCCTCTACGCGCATAAATACAAAGAAAGTCACCATTTACCGTGATAACTTTTTCTTGATTTCTACATGGGTGTTGACTGAGATTTTGATTCTGGTACTATTTTATAGGGGAGAATACACTCTGTAATTAGACGTTAATAAATAATAACTCCACAAATGATCCCATAATATCAATTAGTAATACTACACTTACAAAAAAATTTTACAAAGATCACTTACAAATAAATTTTACAAAGATCTCTGTATAAAATAATGTGATAAAATATAAATAAAAAAATAAATTTAATAAGTTTGACTTTTTGTTTCACTCTTCCATTCCTTTTTTTCCATCTCACTTTGTGCGAAAATCTTTATAAGATTTATTTGTAAGTGTAATATTACTTTGCATAAAGTACAATGACTTTGTAACCAATAGAATCAGTACAATGACTTTCTAACCAATAGAATCAGGATGTTAAAGAATAATACATCCTCCTTATTCTATTTCCTTTAACAACTTTTGTTCATTGATAATTTATAATTAAATTATACTATACCTGTATACCAACCATTGCTAAACATATTATACTCAATAGTTTAAGGGGTTAGATATATGACGTTAACTTAGTAATCACATTTTTTTAAATGTATAGGATTTATTCGAGGTGTCTGAGCCAGCAATCCATCACTATCGCGGCCCCAGGTAAATCATGGGATCCAACGGTAAAGGTAAACCAAAGAGGTTATGCATACTACCCACGCGTGAGTTTTTAAAAGTTTAATTAAAACATGTTAGGCAATGCCGTATTATGCTAGACTTAGTAGTTTAGTGCATTCCAATTATTTTTAATATTAAGTCAAATAATGTGATTTTATGACTAAATTTGTCCTTTAAATAAATACTTTACATTTTTAGAAATTAAGATTAGTAAAGATGAATCTGAATAAACTATCTCTGGATGACTGAGTCATTCAATAGGGACACATTAGTGAGTTTAAGTCCTTCTTCAGTTGTTAATAGGGATAATCATTGGAGCTTTTATAAGACTAATAGTTCTAAGGTTTCAAGGAATTAGTTAAGGTGTACGAAAGCTAACCCGACACCTCCGATCATTAAAAAAAAAAAAAAAAAAAAAAAAAAAAGAAGGAATATGAATAGTTGATATTTTAAATATGGACTTTGTTTGGTTGATCATGACTTGCTCATGTGAGTTGCCATTGGCCACACTTCTAGTTGCATCCACTTTCATATTGTAGTCTCAATTATCTCCCCCAGTTTCTGCCAAATGCAACATAAATGACTGAGTTAGGCTGTTGTTGATCAAGCCATTCCAAGCATGCTGTGTCTTCTTGCCAGAAGTATCCTGTTGAATTTCCTTGTCGGTTACTCGCCAAAAGAGGTCCTATTGGAAGCATATTTGGAACCAAGTTGAATGCTCCAGGTTCAAAGCCATAGGTTGAGTTGCCAATAAGGGTATCTGCAACTTTCACAGCTTCTTTGGTCTTCCATAAATAGTCAAAGAGTATCTTTTGGGCTACACCGCCACCAATGTTTGCCCAAATAAAGTTTGTACTGTTGATTTCAGGCATGTTGGGTGCAAACTGAATCATTTGTTTCTTGAACGGAGTCCCTGGAAACAAATTGTACACAACAAAGACGGTGATTCAGTGACTTTTAACTTGCAAAAAGTTTACAGAGGAAGATGGAAAAGGGTAAAAACGAGTTAGAGCGTGTTACCATTACTGTCAATGATTCCATCATCAATCATCTTTGGAATATTGTAAAAGAAAGCCAGAGTAGCGACTGATGCGGGCCAAAAGGCAGCCTTCTTAATTTTCATCTTCTCTGCAACTTCAAGAGCAAATCCAACACTCCCATCAACAATCACAAAAACAAGCTTATCTTCTTCCACTCTGTTGATCTCTTCAATGAACTCCTCCAGCTTCCCCGGCATCACCTTCGGCATTGCTGCACATAGCTTCCCTATATCATTTCTATCCTCCCCGGCTTCCATTCCATCTGGAATCGACACCAGACGGATTCCATCCCCAATAGAATTTTCCGGTAATGCGTTGATGACCCGGTTGTGAGTATGATCTGTGTTGACAAATGTGACTCTGAAGCCATGCTTAACTAAGCATAATGAAAGCTCCAGTAAAGGAATTACATGGCTTTGTGCAGGAAAAGGAATAACTAGAATATGTGGAGGACTCATTTTAGTTTTCAGTTTCCTGTATGTTCCTATGGACATCTAAAACTCACCAAGTTATGTTATGTTAATTGTATGTTCCCAGCTTATATAATTCAAAATCCTAGCATCTAAAACTCACCAAGTTATGTTAATTGGATGTGTATATGGAGGATTTTCAAAATTTGAGCGACCCAGAGATCGAGATTATTTCTATGGAAGTGGAAGACTTTGAATGCTGACTTCTACAAGTGGAGTAATGGACTGAGTTTTCTATGCTAGTCTGCTAGCTAATGTCTTACCTGTATGTAAATCAGTAGTGGTCACTAGTTGAGATAAAGGCCCTGGAATTTAAGTGGTCGACATAAGTTCAAATAGACCCTGGCATAAAAAGTAGTGATCTCTGTACTAGAACCTCAGCTAATAGTGACGAACCTACAACTGGAAGCACTCTTCATTTGTATGTTTGAAAGAACGGTCAATTAGTGAAAGAAGAAATTAATTAGCGTTTATTGGAGTAATCAAACAAAAATAGAATATACATTCCACTATCAACTTGTGTGGGATCATCAAAAAGCAGATGGTGATTGATGTTTGTCAAAGATAAAGGCCAATATATATCTCGAGGGGGTGACCTAAAGATAAAGATCAAAGGGAACCTTTTTTTTTTCCATTGTCAGTTTGTTGGAATACGGTGAGACTTGAGAGGGAGACTAAACGAGTATTAAAGTGATTAATACCTTACTTCCATTAATTGGTTGATCATTGAAAGATCGAACCATTTATTATCCACTATTATTTTGGATAAAATGAAGAGTTATGGAAGAATCATTTTACAGGAAATAGTTGAGAAATACCCCCAAGGCTATCATTTGACCCTCACTTCTATTGTGTATGACCTTTTGCTGATCCTGATCATCAAACCTCTTGCGTTTATACAGGATATATAGTCAATAAACACAAAATCATTATGTACTTTAATTTAATTTTAATAATTATTGTGTACTATCATAAATATTCTCGTAAGTTCTTAATTTTTATTATGAAGAGGTCAGTGGTAATTTTATTAATCTTAGGCATGAATTGAAACTGGATTGTGGAGAACCGCTACTTGACACAACATATCTTATACCAAGTGTTAAAGTCATTAACAACACTGTTGTCTATATCAGTTTCAACGCTATACCTACCATTGAAAAAGAGAGATACCTTGTTTATAATTGAATCTAGAACTAGAAGGAGGCCCAACAACATCAGAATTGATCATCCATCGCCCAAATGGATGATCAATTCTGATGTTGTTGGGCCTATTTTAGACCATATTTATTATCCTTAAATATATTTTGTTAGTTATCTAATTTAATTTAATTATATGTTTATTTTTGTTTTTGGTGAATAAATTTGGAAGCATGGAGAAAAGTCATTTAATTCAAGTCTTTAATATCCAAGGAGAGATTAAAGCCCAAAGAGCAGAAGAACAAAGGAATAAAATAAAGGGGGTAATAGTAATTTTACTTAGCTTTATAAGCGACCACAGCGTGAAAGTAAGTTTAATTAATGGTGTGGGCCGTAGGGCTGGAAAAAAAAAAAAAAAAAACCAAACCGAAGGCTAAACCGAAAAATCGAATTTTTCCACCCTTAGTGTGGCCCAAGTTGTTATATGGATGGAATATGGAATTGCTTCCTAAGCCTTTTTTTTTTTTTTTTTTCCCGGGGTTATTGGGGTCGGCTTACGGATATCTCAATTAATTTTTTGAGACTTTGGAATTATTGACCAGGTAAGAGTTGTAGTAGCTATCCCTATTAGCAACTGATGAGAGACTCAAACTCAAGACCTCTTATGTAATACACTCAAAAGTCTCTATCAAATCACTCGACTATCTAAAGGTAGTTTACTAAGCTAAATTTACTTAGAAGCCAAGTTTTATAAAGGAAAAGACTCAAGAATAAAAAATTAGCTGCCAAAATATCTGAAGCAAGATGTATGACATAGTCTGTTCAACATTTTGAGTTTAATTCAATGCGGATGATTACTAGTTATCTTCTTTTTGCAATTTAGCATTTTGTGTTTACGCCTTCTGTTCGAGCATGTATACTTATCTTATCTCCGTCCCTTCCATAAAAGTCGTGATATCAGGAGTCCATAAAAGGTGTCATCTTATGCCGAGATTTTCTTATTAATGTTTCGAGTCTTTCAACTTATCTTCTAGAAACCTTGAATGTTTCTAAGCTGGATTATACATGTATTTTTCCTTTCAATCAATAATTGTTGGACTAAACAACCACTAGATGACTTGAAGATAAAAGAGCAAATAATGATTTAACATGGTCTTCCAAACTCGAGTCTTCTTGATGGTCAAAAAGCAAGAGGAGGATCTAACACAGTCTTTCGAGTTTGAGTCCCTACGATTGTAAATAGGGGTGGCCACTAGAGCTTTGTTTATCTCGTTAACAGTTTTATGTCTCGAGAGATTAGTTGAGGTGTACACAAGTTAGCCCAAACAGTAAAAAAAAAAAAAAAAAAAAAAAAAAAAAAAAAAAAAAAAAAAAAAATTATTGTACTAGTTTACTTGGGAAAAATCAAATGTTGCTCAAGCTTTAAAACAAGTGTGTAAAATTGCCCTTATGTGAAAAATCAAATCAGTTGATATTGTTATTAAGATAAGTTTTCAATTAATATGTGGAAACGGGTAATGTATGACTCTGTTTTAAAAACCGAACCGGACCGATTGGGACCAGACAACTTCTCTAGTCCGGTTCAGGTCTTAGGGGGGTTTTATAATATTTCAAACTTATAAAGGTTAATTTGTAATTCTATAGGGGTGTTTGGGAGATATGTCAAAATTTTAGGGATTAATTAATAATTTTTTTTGGAGCATTTTTTAAATAAATAAAAATTTTAGGGACTAATTAAACTTTTTAGGAGAATTTTTGTAATATATTAAAATTTAAGCGATTTATATATAATTTTTTAAAAAATAAAAATATTACTGATGTCATTGATTTAATCCGATTGGATTGGTTGACCCTTGTCCAGGTTTTAAAACAATGATGTATGGCTGACTATGCTTGCTCAATTCCCCATTCCATCATTCAATTCAAAGCAATGTACCTGCCTTTTGCCAATAAAAGGCAGGTACATTGCTTTTAAAATTCAACCANCCCAACCATTTTCACATGCATCATCTCCTTTCCCTCATCATCTAATATAGTGCAGGTTTTATTTTCAAAATGCAGAATGTAATTTCTTTCAAGCAATTGTCCTATACTAAGCAGATTTTGGTTGATTTCAGGAACAAATAACACATTGTAAATGATCTTTGTACCTGTTATGGTCTGCACAACCACATCTCCTCTGCCTTTAACTTTCACAAGTTCACCATTTCCCACCTTTACACTTGACTGGTATGCTTGATCCAACTACACAAAATTCTTCAGATCAAGCGTCATGTGGTTTGTACATCCACTATCAATCAGCCAAGTTCCAGCATTGAACTGAACAACATAGCAGGATGCCACAAAAAGCTGCTCAGATTCAGAATTCTATTGCAAATCTTTAGCAGTCTGTGCTTGCTGTGCAGGTTGCTGTTGTTTGTTTTTGCAGACCTTTTCAATGTGGCCTAGCTGCTTGCATGCATTGCATTGAACATTTGGTCTGAACCAGCACTTGTACTCAGCATGGTTCTTCTGCTTGCAGTGGGAACATGGTGCAAAAACCTTGAAACCTGCTGGTTTGTTCCACTGCTTGTTTGCTCTCTCCTTTCCTCTTTTCTCTCCTCCAAACTTCTTGTTTTCTCCCTGAGTTGGCTTGATTTTCTGCTGGACAAACAATACAGCTTCACTACTATCTTCTTGCCTCAATTTTATTCTTTGCTCTTGGGCTTGAAGAGCATGAACAAGTTCGGTTAAGGTGATTTGAGACAAGTCTTTGGAATCCTCCAAAGAAGAAATCTTTGATTCAAACCTCGGGTAGGCTTACTAACACCTTTTCAACAATTCTTTTATCACTTATCTCTTCCCCTAACAACCTTATCTTGTTAACCACATTCATTAATCTATCTACATACTCTTTAACAACTTCAGCCTCTTGCATTTTCAATGTCTCAAACTCTCTCCTTAGGTTCAAGACTTGCATGTTTCTAGTTTGGGTGCTTCCTCCAAATTCTTCCTTAAGCTTGTCCCAAGCTTCCTTTGCTGTCTCACAAGCCATTATCCTTGTGAAAACTTGATCGGTGACTGCAGCATGTAAATGGGACAAGGCTCTTGAAGCTTTTGCAGTCTCCTCTTCATGGAGTCTTATCTGGTTCAGGGTTGAGTTTGGTCCCAACTGTGGTGGCTGTTTCTCTTCATCTACATACTGCCATAAACTCTGACCTCTCAAGTATGCCTTCATCTTAACAACCCACATATGGTACTGTTCCCCATTGAAGGTTGGAGGCAAGAGTGAGGCTGAACTTGTTGCCATGAAGTCTATCTTCGGTGAGATAAGGACTGACAGAGAGTGTGCAAAGATGGAGGTTTTGCAGGCTCCTTAAGATCAAGATGGAGCTCTGATACCACTTGTTGGTTTTATGAGCATGAATGTGGTCTTACGGGAGAGAAAAGGGTGATAAACAAGAAGGGAAAAGAGCTGAAATATTGCATTACATTAAACTGAAAAATTACAGCAAACATATATACATGACAGACACTATTGCATCTAACCATAAAACATATTTTAGTCCAAAATGGCATCCTAACCACACAAACTTAGCAACTCTAATTACATCACATTAATTTGATACAAAGTTGACAACCTAAATACATGCTGAACTCACCAAAATACATCACTTCAACATGCCTACAGAACAGCTACGTGAACTGCTCCAGACCAGATTTTCAAACTTCAGCCTTTTACTTTTGCCGCCAGAACAGCTCCAGTTTAATCCAAAATAACGCTTCAAGCAAAATATCACTTCTTTGAACAAGCTTCATCCCCTTTAATATCCTCACCCTATATTTATCCCCCTCTCTTTCCTGTATCTATCTCTATCTCTATCTCTATCTCCTAGTTATAGCTATCCCTCTAATTCTACATGTATAAATACTCCCTTAATATATTATTGTTTGAAATAATTCATATTCTTTTGTTAATGGGAACATCTCTAAGGTTGGATGGCTAAAGAGCCTGTGGATAACAATGGGAACTTTTTTCAGAGATCGATCATGTTNGCTTAACTTGTAAAAGACTTGCAACATGATTTTCGAGCTTACTCAGCATTCCATTTAGGTTTAATAATGGTGAGCTGTCCAAGTTGTTTTTGCTCCGCTATAAGCTTGATATAAGAGAATGCCTTCTTTAGTAAAAGAATTTCAAACTTCATAATTATTTAATTTATCTTAAAATTGAATATTTTAATTAATTTTCCTCAATAATAGTGCTGGTACAGTATTTGAAAGTGTTCAGTTAATAAAAATTTCCCTCAATTTGAAGTTTATTCCACCTGGCATTAGACCATTTTGACAAACGTCTTCTAGTCATGAAAAATTTTCATTCATTTTCTCACCTTCCAAACACTGATGAGAAAATTTCTTCCGTTTTTAAGAACTCTGCAAATTTTGCAATCTGATAAATTCGTTTTTATAACTCTTCCACAAATTAACATAACTATTCTCATTCCTCTTTCTATAAAACTGAATTATGACAATTATCGATATTGTAGTTCTCTTGTTCTCTCTACAACTCGCAACCATGAACTTGAGTCTTTCTTACTTGGTTTAATGGAATGTCCAGATCCATTTGTGATAGTGAAGATCTCGAAGTCAGAAAAAGTATTAGATGATTCTATCAAAAACCTAATCCTGACTATGTCAATTGGAACAAAACAAAGAATAGCTATATTTCTAGATGTTCAGCTGGCTATTGGCTTTTATCTCAGAGCTAAAGTATAGCTATATTTCTCGATGTCAGACTTCGTGTGAAATTTGGATTACTCTACGACAATTTCATCAGAATAGTTGTAAAGTCAATACACGTCATTTTAAACATCAATTACAAGCTATGAAGAAAAGATCATTGTCAATTAGTGAATTTTTATTTCTAAACATCAATTACAAGCTATGAAGAAAGGATCATTGTCAATTAGTGAACTTTTATTTCTGATGATAAACTATTAGATTTTATCTTAGATGGATTAGATTTTGAATATGTTATTATGAATCTAACATCTCGAATGGTGTCAATTTCTTTACTGTTGATTTTGCATTCTGGAAATTCGGTACAATTTGCTGCTGTATCCCATTATCTCAAATACACTCTCCTCAGCTCATCTAATTGCTGCGAATAAGTTTGGATTATCGTCTTATTTATATCCGTGATTTGGTTATATGCTTTGTAACGTGCTAGGCTTCTTAGTTATTCCAGCTCATTCAAGGATTCTTTAAAGTTTCTGACAAATATTTGGCAACTTTCTCTGGTGAAGATGCTTATACCATGGGTGAAGCCAAGGAGGAAGCTGTGCGCACAATTATAGAATTTGTAAAGGCACCTGACATGTTTCAGGTAAATATGAAGGGCTCACTGAATTCCTAAGATGAGTGGCCTGATAATTTCTTCACAATATAAACTGCATTAAATTAAACTTTTCATGATCATGGACTAAATGTAGTTAGCAATTTGAGCATTTTGCATCCAACTGATCCTGTAATTTGTTCATTTTGAGGGCATCTATTTGTTCTTGCAATTTGCATGAATATATGCAGTTTCTTCATTTATTGTTTGCCTTTGCTATGTAACTAATCTTTCTGTTGTATTGCATTGCTATTTATTAGACATGCCTGCATAGGCCATTAGAGAAGGATGCTAAATATGCATTGGTATACAGCTTCTGAAGATCTTTCTGACGCAGAGACTGGATATCTATTTGGAATTTCAAACTGCAATTCTACTTTACTGAAAAGCTATGGTAATAATTTCTTTGTTGTCCTGTCATTTTCTATAATTGGATATTAATGAGCTACAGTGTCTCCAAAATTAAATAAAAAATAGTATGCTCTTCATGGTGTAGGTCTTGTTCGTGAAGACTGTATAAACAAGATGTTTGATGTCATTGGTGGATCTTGTTCTAGTGGATCTGGCCAAATTCGTTATGCCCTTATCAGGGATACCCTAAGGTAATCTTGCTTGCCTTTGTTTCTATGGATTTGCTGTAGTTTCTTTGTTGCTTATATTTGGCATGTTTTTTATTGCAGATCAGTGAAGATGAGGTGGAATGTGGGTGGTTAAGGCAATAACTGCCAAATTGATGGACTGCAAAATGGACCAATGAATCAAGTTGTGATTGTGAGGTAAATTGTCCTGTTCTGTATCCCCTCTCTCACTCTACACAAATATACATGCATACATACCATTGATTCATTTTAATTTGCAACTACTAATTTCAGTAATATCCAGCAATTACTACAGCTAATATCCTTTGTTTTGGTTGTAACTTTCATTTGATCTGCAGCCGCTGTACTGAGCGTGTCTTTTCACAGCACCAGTGGCAAACTCTTAGAACAAAGCTTGCAACTTGGAGGGTAAGAATCCCCACCAGTAATGCTAATGTTTTAACCTTTTTTCGTTCAGTTTCTGCGTACCCTCTATGTTTCTATTGTTGAGAGAAAAAATGATAATTTATAAATATGTTGCCTCATATTTTGGACTTGAATTTTAAATGTTTGAAATAGAAATTTGACTTGTCATTTACTTTTATATTAATTCAAAGCTGTCATGTTGACAACTAATGTTGTATTTCACTGGACTTATTTTACCAAGTTGGTTTTCTTTCCTGAGTCAGTATTCAATAGAATTGATAGGAAAATCTCTAAAATGTTTCTATATTTTTATGTGGGGTCCCCTCTTAGGCCTCTGGTCATCTCTCTGATCACAAGTACTTAGCTTGCAGGTCTTGTTTCGAGAGATGGGAAAGGCGAAGAAACCCACTTGCAGGTGAGGATATCCAGATGAGTGGGACCCGGTTGGCGGGACCAAGGCCCAAAGGGACCCCACATTTATGTTTTATTTCACTAAGTGGTTGTTTTAATTTTTATTTTCAAAAATTAAGTTGTTTCCTTCTTTTGTTGTCGTTTCCAGGGTAATATTGCAAACGTAATCAGCACTATTCAACGAACAAGGTACCTGAAGAAGCGTCACAAGGAGTGCAAGGTTTAATGACTCGCTAGGCTGCTTTTTTATGTCGGATTTTTGATGGCCCCTGTTATTTAGAGTTAGGTCAGACTATCATGTGCGGCTGAAGTATCATACTGAAATTTATATTATTGAACATTATTTGTGTATTGGAAATTTTTGACAGAATGAGTCAATCATATTTTGTTTATCATGCCTACCTTCTGGTTATGTTGTTTAAACTGCAGAACCTGATATGGGTCCAAATTTTCATCTCTTTTTTGGCTCCATTTGCGTACTTTTATAATCTTCTGTTCTGTTATTATTTAATGAAACAAGAGGCTCGAGCTTGTTCAAAATCATCATTCAACTATTCAAGGCCATGAGAAGATATTCACCTTAACTTAACACGATAGTCATCAAACAGTTTTACATCAATTGCACATGTCCATTCAGGTTCTGATAAGCAATTTGATTGGGTTTTATGGGTTTGTGTTTAGGCTGAATGGTTAGAAATAAAAAAAAGAAATCATTCCAAAGTGTACCTTCAATCTTCAACATGGCGATTAAACATGATTACCACCAAAAGCCGTCATAATAAGAAAGCGCAAGAAACACCGGAACAGGGAACCACCAAACAAAACCACCGAATATTGCTCATAATGATGTTTTACGTGAGTGAACAAAACTCAAGTTAGCTTTGTTGGTTTTATGAGCATGAATTGGTCTTACGAGAGAAAAGGGTGATAAACAAGAAGGGAAAGAGAGCTGAAATATTGCATTACATTAAACTGAAAATTACAGCAGACATATATACATGACAGACACTATTGCACCTAACCATAAAACATATTTTAGTCCAAAATGGCATCCTACCACACAAACTAGCAACTCTGATATACATCACGTTAATTTGATACAAAGTTGACAACCTAAATACATGCTGAACTCACCAAAATACATCACTTCAGCATGCCTACAGAACAACTACGTGAACTGCTCCAGACCAGATTTTCAAACTTCAGCCTTTTACTTTTGCGCGCCAGAACAGCTCCAGTTTAATCCAAATAACGCTTCAAGCAAATATCACTTCTTTGAACACTCTTCCTTGATATTTTTGCTTGAGACACCAAGTTTCCGCTTCATGTCTTCAAACTTGGACCTACATAGGGACTGTAAATATGTCAGCCAATTGCATTTCCCCTCTGCAGTATGTCAATCTGTTTCTTCGATGGCTCACCTCTCTCACTGCATGAAACTTATTTTTATGTGCTTAGTTCGACCGTGCATGACTGGATTTTTAGCCATAGCAACAGCCG